AGTTAAAACTTTTTGTAAAACTGCACTATAAAAACACTATTGAAACATTGGTAGATCTTGGAAAGAAGTTACTAAGAAATGCTTAAATAATGATTATCTCAAAATATAGTTGTAGTAGAAGAAGAAAATAACACAAAACAAAATATAAATGAAGTTGTCCATGAAAATGATTTTAAAATGTATTGAATGGAGAAGATTATTGAAGAAGTGGAAGATTTAGAAAACCTTGTTAGCAATTAAGCCAAAGAAAATGAACACGTACTTAAATAAGTTCTTTCCGAAAAAAATGTTTACAACATTGACAATGAAAACATTTCAAAATTTTCTAGTGAAAATGATCGTCATTTGAGAAGAAGCGATCATTGTTAAATGCATATAGGCAAGAAAAAAGCACAAAAAATTAGGCTGATATTTTAAAATGTGTTTTACATACAAAGTGATGATGTTGACTGCTTTTTTTCTTAACGAACTAAAGCATTCATTATGGTCATAGTACTTTTACTTGTAAAAACAAAGTTTCGTTTAATGAAGTAATTTCTTGGAACGCATTATATTCGTTAATCGATGTATAACTATATAAATCGTTATAAACAATAACATATACAAATTACTTATCATTTGTAGTATTTTACTATTACTATTTTACTACTATTAATAATTACATTAGTCATTATTATTTATTATAATGATTAATTATCCATAGAAAAGTCATTAACATTACCACAAATCAAACATATTTTTTCATCAAGATTGGTTTTATTATTCTTTTTTTTTGCAACTAAATAAAGACATTAAATAACACTACTACTGATTATAAAGAAAAGATCAAAATAGTTGAGATATATAATATAAAATTGAACTGGATATGTTGTGTTTGCTATAAATAGATATTTACAAACATGTTTTGAACTGCATATATTTTATTCTGATTCAGATCACGCGTTTTACTGCTTTGTAGTCTTGGCAAGAAGATATGAAGATACCCACAATTCGGAATTTGTTTGAGGCGTAATGGATTCCTTTTGCTTTTTATAGAGCTTTGTAAGTAGGTGTTTGTAAGGCCTGTTCATTTTATTCGATAATCTGGAAATGCCCACAAAAATACATCTAATCCAAATAGATGATTCTGAAAATGTGTCAATGCCTGTGTGGTTATAGTTATAGATTTAAAATCTTTAGTTTTTAAACTTCAACACCATTCACTATAGTATGGTTTGAGTTATAAAACAAACTTAATTTTAATTGTTAAAAATATCTTTTTATTAGAACACAAAATTATTTTTTTAAACATAAATGATCGGTCATCGATTAGGTTGGTTTCAAACACTGCGGTATAGTTTTGGATTACCCGCATTATAAAAATGAATTGGATTTGTAATAGTAGTGTAGCAATAGAAAGTAATTATTCAGATAATTATTACTCTTATTCATCTTACTTGTCTTTATATACTGTATACATTGCAAATGTTTAGGATCAAATTACCTTGGCTAAAACTAATAATTGGTACATATAGACCAGTGTATTTTACGTGCATCAAATTATCTTTTTCTCATACTTTTACTGACTCGAGAAATATTTTTTATATTTCTGCTGATTCGCAGATGTAATAAACGCTGATATAAACTATGTTAATAGTTAAAATGAATACCTGATCAATTCATATTTAAATATTATAATTCTTAATATATTTACTAAATATATTTTTTAAATAATAATAATAATAATGTTTATTGTATCAGAAAAAAAAACATATACAGAAATAAAAAAAACAAAATAAATATATATAATTTCAAAAAAGTTAACTGATACAAAGGGCTATTGACCATAGGTCTTTCTGGAATAATAATATATTGTACAAAAAAAAAACATGAAAAAAAACAAAATCCTTCAAATTGATAAAATGTGTTCACAAAGAGTAAGATCCGGAAATCCGATGCATATATTTTTTATTATATTTATAATTTAATGCACGTATTATTAACAAAGCAGAAGATATTCCAATGATTAGAATAAAACAAAATGTTTTTTAAGTTCACATATTTAAAATTGCCTCAACAAACTTGGTGACCGAATTTGGTTTGTTGTTTGAAACTTGTCAGAGATTGCTGATAGGACGTAGATGGACGATCGACATGTTTCAAACATATCTACATATACAATACACATGTTAAGTGGTGTAACATATGGATTGAATTTATTTGAATAGTACATTCATAAATCATTAATATACATTTATACATTAATAGTCAATGAAATAAGTTCAAAATTAATTCATGTTTTAATAGTATAATATTTGAACTAATCGAATTTAAATTTCCTTTATTTACTAATTTTAAACAATGCAATACTAACATTTGTTGTAATAACTATAAAATTACATTAAATAATCGCTATTTATTGTTAAAATATATACAGTTTAATTTATGCGGTAAAGTGTTTTTGGTGTTAGTAGAAGACGGAAAGGAAGGGAAGAAACTTCTATACATATTATATACTTAACTCTCAGTTTGTATGAACCAAAATTTTGTTCGAAAACTGAGACAATTTTTGTTCGGGAACCGTTGAGATTTAATTACAATATTTGATACATTTATTAAATTATATTTGTAACAACGGTATTACTTTATGAAAGTTCTTTGGTTAAAAGTAGTGCTAATAATAAAAAATACGTCAATAAAAAAATAGTTTTTTTTTGATATGATATAAATAATATACATAAAGTACGAAATTGTGCTAGTTGGTAAACGGCAGTCGTTTTGGAATTTGGAAAAGGGAATACATTATCATCTTCGGCCTATTTGGGTGTTATGAATTATGCAAATTCCGGTACCGTAAATGTTTGTAATGCACGCGGTGACAAATAAAACGCGAATCGTGTGCGTTGTAAATATTTAATTGGGCGTTTTCTTTTATTCCACGATCATTACGTCGCTCTACGTTCCACCTTCCTGTTTGTTTCTAGCTTCTTTTTATTGGTGTTTTGCATCGTTTCTAATGGTCTTTTTCTTGTACTGCACTTTGTAAATGGAGCAATGATCTTCAAAGTATGTCAAGTCACAAAACCCTTAATGTTATCTTTTTTTTTCTTTAACAGAAAATACTGTTAAAAAAAAATCTGAAAAATATACTAAATAATATGTGAAATTTATGTGGAAAATGAAAATAATTAGTTTTATTTTTGTTGTTTGGACAAATAAATTTTAATTATTATTATTTTATTGAGCATCTTTTGTGAAAATGCATTATAATTACTTATTTATTAATTAATTAGCACAAACGTAATCTTAGCAACTTGTATGTTCTTTTTTTGCATGCCAATTAATATATTTCATTAACAAGTAATTTTAGTGTAATTCTGAAATTTATTTTGAATCAAATCACACAAATCAATTAATTTATGAATATTATGTATATTATGTAATTTTTTACATTATTATGCAAATTTTCAAAAATTGTTCAAAAATTCATCAAATAATTTTGAAAGCATAATTCTGCGTTTAAAAGTACAGTGGAACCTTGCATAACGAGCATTTCCGGAAATTTTAAAACGGATTGAACTCGTTAAGCAAGATTCCACTGTAATTGATTTCATCAAATTATATCTGCTAAATAGGTTTTAACTATCTATATAATTTTGAAACTAATTCATGCCTATGTTCAGAATCGTTCTTCACATTGAAAAGAGTATTAATATCTATGCATAATAATAAGTATTCATAGAATTAAATCTAATTTGTTAGAAAAAGAACCTTCGATTTGTGAGAATCCATCCCATGTTTATTTGTCATTATTATATAAATTTATTGACCAAAAAATACATTAATATAAAAACTATATAAAAATTAAAAAAATAACTACAGTGGAACCTTGCATAACGAGCATTTCGCTAACGAGCATAAGAAAAATGACTTCAAAATGGAACGCATTATCGTATTTTCCCCATATAAACTAATGTAATGGTTTATATGGCAAAAACATAATCCGAAAATTTTCGAAAGGATTATGCTCGTTAAGCAAAGTTCCACTGTATATAGTTAACATCTGGTTAAAAAGCTATCAGCCATTCTGGTTTTTGTTATGAAATAGATTTTACTTAATTTCCTGTTTTAAATTTCTACAAAAATTTGGGAATTTTCTTACAATTCTTTCGAATTTGGACTCGCAGTATATTTTAAGTGGTTACTTGATATTCCAGGATTTTGCGTAAAACAGTTTGAAGACCACTGGTTTACAGCACATCTGAATCGCGTATATCCTTCTTCGCGAGATTTGTGAATAAAGTAGATGAGCAACATTCTTCTTTTCAAAATTTAAATAAGAGAACATATTTTGGGTATTGGGTCGAGAGGGACGGGAGGAGCGTTTACTCCACTGACCTGTAGAGGATGTGGTCGGTGTCGACGGGCCTTCAGGCAGAGTACACACGCATGCACACACAAACACCCAAGCATACGCATACACATCTGCACACACATGTATTTATATATGTGCACACACACATGCATGCATTCGTATGTACACGTGCAGGGACATACGCTTGTGTTGGAGAAGAAGAGCGGAGGCCACCATCGAGCACCATACGAATTGGTAGTCTCAGGAGCCGTGCGAATCCGATCCACAGGTGCGGAGATATTTCGCATTATTTACCTACTTCTTCGATGTGTAAAATAGCTCAATAGCAACGGCTGGGGTGATGCCTCAGATGGAATAACTGTACAAGAGCTGTGTCTGGGTCAGAAGGCGGTCGCATGGTGGGGCCTCAGAAAACTCCGCATGGTGTGTGGTTATAGTGGAAGACCATGAGACAGGTGAATTCCATTCTCAAACTGAACAGCGCGTAAGCTGGTGTGTGGTGTGCGCCCCTTTTTGCACTAATTTCACTATCATAGCTACTACTACTATACTACCACTACTAGCTCTACTACTACTACTTTACTAGTCTGCATCAAGTCATTACCGAGCGACGTCGGATTTTAGTGATCTGGACACGCAAAATATTGCTCGATCTAGAGCAGGATTACACTACCTGAGCTTTTATTTATAAACGGTATGTATATATTCAATTAATTTACGTTCACATATAACAAATATTTAATTTACATCCATAAATATTTAACAACAAAACACTAGAAAATTTTATTTATTTATTGTATTTTCTTCAATTCTAAGTAATGAAGTCCTCAATAAAAACCAAAGGCTACATAATTTTATAATAATTAGTTTAATATGGACAAAGAGTAAAAAATATATATTTGACTACATATTTTGGTGACATACATATTTTATGTAATCAATAAAAATTATCGGTGAAGTTCAATTTTAATATTATATTTGTAAATTACAAATATTTATTTTGGATCCATATCGATTTTCGAATTTAAGAAGTATTTTCTTGAAGTTTTACATGTTTTAGTGACATACATATGTAAGGAATAAAATAAGAAATATTACAAATCGATTGATTTATTTTGATAATATAAAATAAACAATGTTTTTTTAATATTCTTTTAATCTTTATGGCTAAAGTAGAGAATTGGCGATCTTCCAAATAATAGGCCAACATTTTATACACGAACGTAAATAAAATAAGTTTATATGAAATAATTCAATTCTAAATTTTATCAACATATTATAAATTCTAGTTTACACAAAAATCATTAACAGAACTGAAATTAGGTCAATTGCATTTATTACTCTTGTATGTTATTGCAAAAATCAAATATGAAATTAAATTAACAATGTTCGATTTATATTCAATAACAAATGTATATATTACAAATAATTTATAATTAAACTTGTTTTTAATTGTATTATATACAATAATACATTGCAGAGTGCGGATAATATTGCACCGGACTAATCGAGGACTTTAAACCCGCATAAAAAATAAACAGCACAAAAAAAAGACATCAATCGTTTGTGTATCAAACAATAATTCTGTATATTAATTTTTAAAATTTGTTTTAATTTTGTCAATTAAAATTTAGTTTGTCTTCAAATTTTCAAACCGGATTGATCGAAGCCGCAATATGCGAGGTACTGCACTATTATTATCGTAATATTTAGTATAAACTTTAAAAATATTTAATAAAATTTCAATTAATTCTAAACGAAAACCAATTTATACAATATAATTATAAGCAATTGAATTATATTAAATATATGTTGTGCGTCGTTAATTAGCAATTAAATATTTTCATATTCGTTTATTAATTAGTGATAAAATTAGGTCAATAGCACTGGACTGTTCCATTAAAGTGCATTTAACGAGTGGCGACGGTCGAGGTTTTTGAAGTGGTATTTATTTTTTTTTTAATTCTACACGGAAAAAGCTAACGTTTCGTTATTAGCCGTATAACAACAACACTTACTTAAACTGTACTTTTGCCAACGAGAAACGGTTGCGCCTGTTTCTTTATCTGAAAGTAAGAATCAAGTAAACCAGATGTTATATTTGTTGCTGTTAAAAATAATGTTTAAACATTTAACTTAATTTTTTTTTAATAATATTTCTTATTATCTTATTAACAAAATATGATTAAAATATTGGTATTAACAGAAAATAAATAAAAATATTAATTAAATGTTCAATTAACCTTAAATTTATTAAATAATATATGTATAATCAATTTAAAATATATATTATTACTTTGTATTGATTGACATTATTGGTAGATGCGCCGGGTAACATTATAGAAACATACTTATTTTATACTATAAAGTTTATATAATAAATTATTATGATACTATTTAAGCTAATTGATTTTCCTATTATAGTTATTGCTTTGGTAATATAAAATAATGATTAAATAATGTAGAATATCCTTGGTTTGATAATTTATAATTCGAATCTAACGAACTAGAAACGAAATCGCGATGATTTAAACTTTATTGAGAGTTGATTATTGCTGATATAACTAATATTTCTAAGAAATTTAGCTAAAATAATAATAATATAATATTGATGTAGCAATTTGCATGAATTTCTAATTGAAAATATTTAAATCTAATTATTTCTTTGATAGAAAGTTAAAATAAATTTTGAAAAAATGTAATTTAAAAATAGAAACGAGAATTAACTGTATTTATTTTTATTGTTAACTATACGATTATATTAATTTATATTAGACAAACGTGAATAAATTTGCAAGTTGAATTTTTGACCGAGAATTGGGTAAGTGTGCCTTTGCGGTTTTAAAATTGAAATATTGCCTTTGGCTCTATTCGGAGATTATAAATAATAAAAAAAATACGTCTCATCTTTTATTGGTCAATCATTAGAAAAAAATGGCCTGAGGATATTTTTTGTTGTTTGCTTTCTCAATAGACTCGTTTTGAATACAATTAGATTTCCAGTAGAACTATATTTATTTTTTATTGGAACGATTATCAACTTAAGATAAATTACTTCAGCTAATTATTTATCTTATTTGTACTAGATAAGAGTTTCGATTGATTTTTCAATATATACAAAAAATAAAAATTTAGAAATATAATTAAATTAAAAACTAATATACAGTTAGTAATTTTCGATTTCTATAATGCATAACATAAAAAAAATATATTAATTGAAAGTATTTTAAAATATTAAATTTCAATTAATATTAATGATGATATAATTATGTAATTATTTTGATAATAATATAAACTTGTATTAAAATAATAAACCGAGAGTTTCGTATGTATTTATTGAAATTTTGTAACAGTTTTTCGAATATGAATAATAGATGAAAGTATATAAATAGTTAACTTAATTTGCATATAGAATTTAAACAATAATTTAATGAAGAAAGAAAGTTTGTAAATTTGTCAACGAAAATAATATTAAAAAAGTGGCTAAATTTATGTCAGAATTTGGTTAAATAAATTAATGTGAGGATTTCGTATTTACAGTTGTCACCTTTACAGTAATATAACAAAACCGTTTTCTGTAGAAAAGCAAGTTTTAAAGGAATTAATATTATACTGTTCGTACTATTCATATTTAGATAGGTAATTTTTATAATACAAGTTATTTACATATTTCTAGATAATAATATCAGAAAATATAATAAAATAAACGTTTAATTTATACATTAATATTATATGAATTTGTAATAATGTTGAAGTGAATAATACGTATTCGTATTGTAATAAATTTAAAGTAAAATATTAAGATGAAAAACATAGAATATATTGTTT